CGCAAACGCTTAAAACGTTGAAAATAGTCCAGGGCCTCCAAAGTTTGAGCTACAGAGGTTTCTTTTTTTCCAAAATTTTTGAAAAAATGTGTACAATAACAATTACGAATTAGTTTTTTGAAATTCAACTCCTACACGGCTAATTTTGTTATTATTTTAATAAAAAATTGCACCATTCATGTAGAATAGCGTGAAAAATATTTCTGAAAGAATCGAGACTATATTTTGAATATTTGAAGAATAATTTTTCTACTTATTTTACATGAATGGCGCAAATTTTTATAGTAAACAAAACGAAATTAGCTGCGTGTAGGAATCGAATTTCAAAAAACGAATTCGTAATTGTTATTGTACACATTTTTTCCAAAATTTTGAAAAAAAAAACCTCTAGCTCGAAAATTGGAGGCCCTGGAGTATTTTCAACATTTTAAGCGTCTGCGTCTCACTCTAATATCCCATGACTTTTAAAAATCATAGTAGTCTCCCCTTAAATTGCATCGAATTTCCAGTTTTTTTCCCTCTAAATCGCATTCATCAGTGTCACTACACGGAGAGAAGTATTCAATAAAAATTACGTACCCTTTCCGGAATTCCAGAGCGAAATGTGGTTGTAGGAAATTTTACGGAACTGTCACGAAATTTTTCCAGAGCGTTCCGTAATTTTTATCTGAATCTCCAGTGAAAAATTACGATACCGTCACTTAAATTTTCTGAGTCCATTTCGTAATCGGTGAGTGAAGTCAGAGTTCCGTAATTTTTATCTGAATCTCCAGTGAAAAATTACGATACCGTCACTTAAATTTTCTGAGTCCATTTCGTAATCGATGAGTGAATTGAAGTTCCCTAATTTTTACTGAATATTTCTCATCGTATATCCTGAAAATTCAAGAACATATTTACCACAATTTTCTGGTTTTTTATTCATTTTCAGGGAAAAATGGAACGGGAATTTACAGTTCTGTTTTATTTTTCCACGAGATTATGGATTTTCAATAACAAGATTTCCTGAAATTTCAGTGGAATTGAAACACAATAAAAATTTCCGGAATTGGACACGGAAAATTCAGACAAAAATTTTTAACAGTGTAAACAAAGCGTCTTTTAGGTTTATCAAAATATAAATGACGTTTATCAAAATGTAAATTATATTTATCCAAAATACGAGAAAATCATGGTATTTTACGGTAACTTTGAGCGTAATTTACGAATACGAGATTGTAAATTACATCTATGTAATCGTAATTTACGACGATTTTCAGCGTAATTTACGATTTATAATCGTCGCAATTTACGATTGCGAAATCCCGTTTTTATCGCAATTTTAGACGATAATTAATCTAATTCTTCTGGACAAAGACTTTATGGAAGAAAAAAAATAATCACACGGAGAAAAAAGTTAGATTCGTAAAATATCCTCGACAAACAGTTATTTTTTCATCGATTTACATTTCGCTTTACGATTATTATTCGTATAGTAAAATTTCCCACTATTTTCTAGGTAATTTTTATCCAACTTTTCTCTGCGTGAATCGCGGTGTGAAATTCATTTTCATTTCATAGGGAGCATAATGAAATTACAGCATGTTCTTCAGGAATATCATTCATTCTTCTCCTCGGAGCACCTGAATTCGTTTCTAGGGCGAAAAGTATCAGTGCTAAACGATTTTAACTTGACATTTTCCGAAATTCATTGGAAAAATGGATTGATCTCAACCTAATATCATTCAATCTTGTCCCGCATTCGAGAGAAATATCATTTGACAATATTCCCCTAATTTCAGTATTTTTAAATGTAGGAAACTGAACTACTAGCACTTATGGCCAAAAAATGTAGTAGTATTACTTCAATACATTGAAAGCAACAAATGCAACTAGGAGATTGATATTATTGCGGAAGAATCTGCAAAAATGGTGGAACTCCTAGGTCCGACGGTCACGGTGAGGTCAGACACTGCTCGTACCCGCGTTTGTCAAAAATACCGTGAAGTTAACAAACGATCTAAAAGTATCAACTAACACAACAAGAACATAATATAAATAAAAAAAATCAAAATACATCTAAAAATCATGAAAAATTACTCACAGAAAGAGAGTGTTTATCCAATGCCGCATTTCACATTATCCGTAAAATTTTTCATGTTCCTCGGTACCAAGACACTGTAATCACTCCACTTCATCACATTTTTCTCGTTCATCGAATTAAACATCGTTGCATAAGAAATAAATTCTAATTTTTTATTAAAATCGGCATTGAAATCTGCGTTCTTGAACCCCGAACGATGCGTGTAAATCCATAAAAATTCAGGCTGAATGGTTCAAAAGACATTGAAAGTATGCATAAAAACTAAAGTAAAATTTATGATTTTGCCTACTAAAGAGTTTGACATCGACTGAACCCTTGCTCGCGACTCTAAAAGATGCAAAGCGCAAGGGAAGATAAGCTCCTCCCACTGACGCCTCGTCGACGTTTTACAATACTCAGAAGGAGTTTATACGACGTCAGCTAAATTTTGTTCACCGTAAACCACACCCCTTGGAATAATCTGAATAAAAAAAAGCAATCAATCTATATTTCCATTGACTGAAAATCAGCGACTCGAGTTTTTTGAGTTCATCTCAGCTTTTCTTAGCAAAAAATGAATCCCTGTTGATAATGTTTTTCTAGTACAAAGATATTCGAGAACTAAATCTATCGAAATATATGATTCAATCTAGCAATAAAACATGTGGGCTTCGTCGATGAAAATGATCAAATAACAAAAATTGAATTTGAATGCCACAATTGATAGAAAATTCAACTAATTACATCACGGAAATTATAATATATTTTTTTATATTTGAAACTGAAGCATCAAATTCAGTGGACCCCGGTTAACTGAACTACCCTTTCTACTGGGACCTGTGAATACAGGATGGCCTCTGGATCCTATCAGCCAATCGGAGGCTGCCGGTTCAATCCCTTGAAGACTCCACCACCCCCCAAGGTGGTTGAAAAGAGATAGGGAAAGTTAAAAAAGCTCTTTCCTTGTTGCACTCAGTCCTGCAATATTATAGATCCCAATATCGAGAGGGTGAGACCCAGATGAAAAACCCTGAGTTGCTGTAAAATTATTGTCTTCTTTCAATGATCTCAATTTCCACTTAAAATGCGCTTACGGTTTTCGACTGATGAAGGCCAATCAACTAATTAGTCTGAGTAGAAAAGCGTCGTAAAAAAAAGGATTCACAGTTTTTCTTGATTTTTACAATAAAAATAATGTAAACCATGATACCATTGAGGACAATACTTTTTCTATAATGGATCCGTTTTTTATATCGAAAAAAGGGGTGCCGTTACCCTTTTCCAAAAGGGGTGAATGGATAAAAAGCGGAGGGGGGCTCCACTGTAACGCAAAAGATACTGTTTCCTACTGATGGCTCGAAACAAAAAAACATGTGAGAAAAAACTTCTATCGATTTGTATTATATGTTCGGTTCCAACAATGTATTTGTTATGCAACAATTATACACTATTAACAGTCGTGAATTGAACATGATTCAAATACGGATGAATAAACATTCCAGAGTGAACATGAAAATATCATAAATGTGTCCGGGAGTTCATAAACTGCAGGGTTTTTTTGCACAAATTATAGATCGAGACGATTTTTTTTATTGGATACTATGATTTTTCACCCCTGCCAGTATTTTGTTGTCAACAATTCAGAAATAAACAATTAGCAATTCGATTTTTCCAACCGAAAAGAAATTTTCCAGTAAAATAGGCGTGATTTGAGACGGTATTTTTGAGATACGAGACCGAACGCGCGCTATAGCGCGCTGTAAATGTAACAATCATAATTGAAAATCTCAAAATTAAATTAATCATGAATTAAATTTGCTGCCTCAGATGACTGGAACCAATGAGGAATAAGCGTGTGACAGACTTGCGAGATCTCGATAGTTATCGACTTTAAGTGTATGTTCTTTTTAGAATAGGATATTTCGCTTTTTACAAAATTTTCATGTTTAAATATTCATCAACAAATAATTTACTAAAATATTTTTCGATATTGTTGATTTATAAAGAAATTGACTCTATTCGCACTAGACTTATTATTTTTTTAAATAATTGGTTTAAATAAAAAATTCGACTCTTCCGGCCGAAAATAAATTTTCCGATCAAGTATATGTTTTCAGGCGGGGATTTTTGAGACATTATTCGCTATTTAGAAAATTTTTGTTAATAAATATTCATAAACAAATAATTTTCCAAGCTATTTTTCGATATTGTTGTTCAAAAATCATTTTTTTTGTTTCAGGGAATTGCATAAATCGTTCATATCGCATAATTGATGTATAAAGAAATTGACTCTATTAGCACCAGATTTATTACTTTTTTGAATAATTTCTTTAAACTAAAAATAAAAAATTTCAATTCTCCATAAAAACAGAATTTCTTCGACCTATTCACGGCATTTCAAGCACATATGTCCTTACGATTGTTTTTATCAACTCAACCATTTGTTGCATAAATAATGATAAACAAATTCATTCCGCACAAATTTATATCCATGTACAAAACAAAAAATCTTTTATACTTCCCACTGCGTACGGATTCGTAAAGTAATCCGTGCAGATTTGCATTAAGGATGTTTAACCTATCAAGTGAGCAACTCCGTTGAAAACAAAAATAAAATTGACCGAATAAATAATTCATGTTGCAAATTATTTTTCTCATCAAATTAAAAGTTACATGGCGTACTTTTCCGTTCTCAAAAAAAATAATTAAAGAAAAACTTCATAAATACTAGAGGACTTGTGACTACGGTGGTAACAGTCCAATTTTGATCGGGCAACATTGCACGCTTGGGTTATACGTGTCCATATGCTTCCAGCACTGAATTGTCGTCACCGACTTTACCGACCTCAATCAGCTGTTGTGTGGTGTTGTCGCGTTGCTCGACCCATCATGGCAGTCAATTTTTTTTTAGAGGCATTCGAAAATCAATTGAAGATATCGCGCTTATACGGCCCGGTCCCCTACTTTTTCTCGCCGGCGATAGATTCTTCATAGTCTAATAGGCGTTTTCGATTTAGAATTCTCTACGCCAGAGTAAAGTGCCCTACGCCGGCGTGGAGTGGAACTAAATCGAACAAAACATGTTTACGTTGGGGGCAATTTCAAATATTTCCTGAAAAAATAATAAAAATGTCACAAGAGAAAGTCAGTGATCATTAGCTGATAATAAAAGATGCAGTATTAACTGCGGCTGGAGAATTGACCATTTGTACTGAACAAGGAACTGTGTTGGTGGAATTGTTGGACGAAAACGGTAAGTTGCGTGAATTTAACCTCTAAAAGGTTATTCTTGGGGTTCGATGTTATAAATGTATCTCCCATAGGTGGAACATCTCAGGCATTTGTCCCACTCATACGTATTGGTCTCTCCGTGGAAGACGCTACGGTTATTCAACCCCAAAATGACTCGGTTTCATCAGATACAGCAATTAATCCTACCAAACGCGACAAGCAGATATATCCAGAGAAGGACGGGTTCATGGGAGTTTTTGGCTCAGAGGCTGAGCAGTTGGACGATTCGCTCAAGGGATGTGATCGTTTTCATGTGCAGTTGGACCCGGAGGGAAATGTCCATAATCTCGGTGCTGATAGAGAAAATACAAGTCCCAACACTGGCAATCGTCAGTCGTGGTCAATAGGAGCCATTAAAGAATTGCTGGATCTGTATAACATGTACGTGCCTGAAATGGGACCAATGAAAAAATTCAAGACTAAGAAAAAAATGTTCCAGAAGATCGCGGAGACATTGAACAGTGATTTCCAAATAACAATAAGTGGAGGACAGTGCTTGTCTAGATATAAAACAGTACTTCGTGAGTACAGCAAGGCTCGAAAGCTTAATATGATATCTGGTGCTTCACGACAAGATGTGGATTACGAAGTTGAGATTGAGGAATTGAAAGCAGCCGATGATAGCCTCGAGCCAAAGATTCGCATGGGCGTTGGAAAAATTACACATGTTGAGAAAAGAATAAGAATGGAGCAAGTGTCACCAAAAATCAGAAATGAAAAGCTGGGATCCGGAACACGAATGGTAAAGGACAAGGGACCTTCTTCCAGTACAAGCAATGCTTCGAACACAGTATCAGAAACCCTTTTATTCATCGACGAACGTCGAGAAGAGAAAAAGGATCAGAGGCATAAGGAAAAACTTGATTTGTTTCGTGAGTTACTGCTGAAAGATAAAAGTGATGGCTAATTATGTATCTCATCTAGAAGAAACCAAGGTTTGAAGAGCTTAAGACTGAAAGTTTATGGGTTAAATATTTACGGTGATTAATAGCTTTCTACCAATTTTGTTATAAACTCGTGGGGTCTTCATTGTCATATTTATCCCTCCATAAAACATAAGACTCATTCCAAACACAAAATACTCCACATTTGAGATTGATACACCATATGATGAGACAAATAAGCTTTGCTTTGATCTATAACCTCGACGAGTTCATCATATTAGTGAAAAATAAGCTATTAACAATGATCTATTAAAAAATAAGTAGTGAACTGGTGAAACGTAACAAGTCAATTTTTCACCCCTTGTAAAATATGAAATGATCCGGATCATGAGTGATTTTAGGGGAAGATAACGAGGGACTTTCAAGTTTATCTACCTGAAAAAAATCCCTCGAAGACAACATTTTCTCCTTAAAATCACTTGCGTCCAATGAATGGACAAGTAACAAAAACTTCGAAATTGATTCATTCTGGTTCATCCCTTTGGTACTGAACTATGTGAAAAATGCGTGCATTCCATCCGTTTAAAAAAAAAAGTTCATCAGCAGTCAATAATGCTGAGTATTGTCTATATCCTGCCTTCAGGATATTCAGCAGAGAAACATAGCTTCCACTTATTATTATGAAGGGTTGAGTTGATAGTATAATATATAGAAAGTTCCAGAGTATCTGTTGTCCGTATTAACAAGACGAAGTTACAGATTACGTATTTAAGGGACGACTGTGTTTTGTTTTGTCGACCTTGAATATAGATATAGAACGGTTGTTATCTTCCATCAGATAGAGTTGCTATTCTGTTATCATATCTATTCAGACAGATACTCACGAAACGAAAATGGCGCTTTAATTATAATTTATAACTGCAATTTAGTAGTGAAGTGGTAAAGTGTAATGAGTCAAATTCAACATTTATCAACATGTGACAAAATGACTCATGACCTTTTATCACTATACTGCTGAATTATTTCGTTAAACTAGTGTTAATTAAATATGTAGACGGTTGAAAATTTGTAACCATATCGATAAATACACACTTGTTATGAAGAAATAATAGGGTATTTATTCGTGTGAGCGTTTATAATTTGATAAATGATAATTTTGCACAAGTGTCCAAGACATTTTTCATCGTAGGCTCAATTTTGATTCATTCATTTATAACTTCACTTAATATCTAGATATTTGGATCATTAACGACATGCGATAAGTTGAAGTTTTCTGTTTTGTTACATTTTAAGGGTCTAATAAGTACATTTTATCAATAACGGATCACTTCAACATAAGAAAACTTTACTTCAGGTTGTTTTTTAGCATTCATAAATTGCATTCTTTCATAAAACAAATTAATATCTCTGGAAATAGAAAAAAATCGTGTGTGCCACAAGTTATATTAACCAAGATTGAAGATCGAAATAACATATCATCCGTATTCAGCCACAATCCTGTGAATATATTACAATGAACATATGAAAATGAAAAACTTTTTACAACATAACTTTACAATGATGATGCGTAGAATCTTTGAAACTATCTAGTGGAAGTATTTGCTTCGGGCACTCATGGAGCGAGTCGACGCAGGGGAAAGTGATACCTCCTGAGGAGTGATATCCATAAGACTCTGATCCAGATTAAGTTTCTTCCTCCTACTAGATCTTTTCTCACTAGGAGATGTAGCAGATGCAGCAGCAGTCTTCCTAGTAGCTCTCTTCGACTCAGACCCAAAGAGTTCAAACACCGGAATACCATTCTCATCATTAGATGTTTTGGCACAGCAGAATCCCTCCCCCTTCTAGGACCTCTCGAGCTAGATGACTTTGGTGAAACCTCATCAGAAGTGTTTTCATCCCTCACTTTATTTTCCCTCTGCTTCAATGCAGTTCTATCATTTAAAGGAGCCCTGGACTTCAAGAAATTGTCCTCTTTCTCACAAGGAGTCAGTGCCTGCCTGCTGAACAGCTCCTGGAACCTCATGACTTCCTTCTTCTCCCTCTCGAGTTCTTCCTGAAGATTCTTCACCAAAACTTCATACTTCAAAATTGTCTGTCTCGATTCTTCTTGAAGTTCTCCGTCGCCACTTCTTTTTTGTCTAGACTGCTTATGATACTAGCATTTGTCGTCTTCAGGTCTTTGATCTCTACCTTTTGCTCCAAGAGACTCTGCTGCAGATTGAAAATTATCTTCTGCATCTGCTCGTAATTCTTACTTCGACTTTCCACTAAATTCTTCACCTTCGTCTCCAACTCTTCATTCAGGTTTTTAGAACTATGGAGGGTCTCGAGTCTCACTCAATTCTTGAATTATCTTCTTGTGAGCTTTCTCATTCTCAACATCAGGAATTTTAGTGATCTGGGACTGCACTTCCTTCTGCAGTCTCAGGATCTCGTCGTTCTTGTCTTTTACTGAGAGCTTTGACTGCTCCAGCTGAGACGTCAGCTGATTAATTTTGTCCTCATTTTTCTTGAATTCAATCTCCAGTTCATATTTCTCTGATGGATATTTTAAAAGCAATGAATTAGCTTCAGAAATCTCTTTTTCTAGACTTCTCATCTGCTCGAGTTTCATCTCCAATTCTTTGATCTTCTTCAGACGTTCTTCCAAAGCTCGAGGATTGGTAGAACTGCTTTCTTCAAGGGTCTTCAACTTGTCTTTTAGGTCAGAGATTTGGATGTTGTATTCGGATTTACATGAGGCTTCTGGAGCTTTTTTGAAGTTACTGGACCTGTTTTGAGAGATTCTCTTTCTCAATTGAATTTCCAGACAGTTTACTTTTCAATTGTTGGATTTCTTCGACGGGTTTTCTCTCCTGATCATTCCCATCGATCCTACGATTCTCTAAATTATTCCTGGTAGTAGTTAATTCATCAGTTAACTCTTTGATTTTTGCGACCTGGTCTTCATGGTGGGATTTTAGCACTTCGTTCTGATTTTTTGAGTCTTCAAGCTCCTTGTGAACTTCGCTCAACCCTTCAGTTCTATTCAATGTAGTCTAAAGGGACTTGTGTCCATTCAGAGGTGCTGAGCAGCTCGTCTGAATGTTCTGAGCCACAGAAGAAACAGAAATTTGTGTTTCCATCAGTCAGGATTCCTTTCTGCTTAATGTCAACATAATCACAGATGATTTCAACACTGGATAATCGAGAAGTCTTCATCTGGGATAACTGCACAGTGATCTCGTTGAGCCTCTCCTTCACTGACTTCAAATCATCCCTCAAAAAATGAACTTCCCCAACACTGTGGGACAATTTCTCAGTTAAAGAGTTTTTCTCGTTTTCCATGCTGAATCTCCTTCTTCAGGGTTTCGATCAACGAGACCTAATCATGATTTTCCACTGGGATGTCTCTGAACTCCACGAACACTTCTCGAGTTTGGGATCCTTCAGTGGAGTCCTCCATCGTTAGAGACAACATCTCCTGCTTGATGAAGGTTTCCGTGCTGTTCATTTCAGCTGGTCGAACTCTTCAAAAGCTTCAGTTGCTTCTCAAATTCGGTTCTCAATTATCTCCCTCTCCAGATGATTCTCCAGTTCCTTTTTCACCTGAACGTCCACCCTCAACAAAGCATTAGTATCCTCCAGTTCCTTCTCCAAATTCTGACACCTGTCAATCTGATCAGCATACTTCCCCTTCAGCTGAGCCAGCGCCTCCTCCTCAGCTTGATAATCCTCCTCAATACTTATATGATTAATTTTAGCACTAGTCAGCATGTCCTTCAAATACTTAATCTTCTTCCTAGAGTGCATCCTTCAACTGCTCCTTTAACTCCAACAAAAACCTTTCCTTCACCCTTCGAGACATCCTACTCCATCGAAGTCAGAAGAGCCTTCACACTTTTCAGTTCATCCTTAATAAAACTGGATTCACAAATCAGTGTTTTTTCCCCTTCAAGGGTCTCTTTCCCCTTTCAAAGGTCCTTAACAGTCCCCTTCAGGTTCGTGACTTCAGATGACAACTTAGACACCTATGCCTCCAAATCTTTAATAATCGTCTCATCGTCCTCATCATCATCATCATATCTTTTTCGTTTCTTACTGGCTAGTTCCTTCTCGTAGTAAGCCTTCAACCGAGACAACTGCCCGTCCAGAAGGTCCTCTTGCTGGTCCTCAAGGTCCTGCATCTTCGCTTTATAATCCCTTCCTAGCTTCTCCATCATCTCAGAGTAAGAATTAGTCATCTCTTCACGAATCTGAATGTCTCTTTCGATGTTTGAGGCTTTTAAAACTGCATTTTCACGTTTCAATCTTTCGATTTCAGCTATCAACTCGTCGTTGTCTTCTTGGAGGGTACGAGACATTGCTCTGGGCCTCTTCAGCTTCGATAGATGACTGTTCAGTCATTATTTCGAGGTCCTTATCGTCCCAGTCTGTTGATGTCTTCGCACTTTAGGCCACCACAATTCGTTTTTACTATTTCGGTAAATTTCCAGTTGTTATTTAAGTTGTCCTGTCATAGTCCCATAGTCTTTATAAGGAGTTAGGACATTTGTAGAAATACTATAAGCAGCATCACCAGCCAAGTGATAAGCGTCACCCATCTGATGCACAACTGGATATATATAAGATTCTGGGAACACGCGACAATCATGGAATTTACTCGGTATCCCAGTGAAAATATCTATGAACTGTTTCTTGGAATCACAAATTCCTTGCAGTGTCATAGATGTGTCATGATGCCTATCTACATAGGTGGACGGTATTTTATGTGCTGGACATCGAATATTTATGAGACATCCATCGGCACATCCAACCACGCCAGGTATACCGGAGATCTAAAAATATGTGTATTGTGGTGACTTACTATGGTAATAGCAATCAATTAAGAATGGTGCTTCAAGTTTTGCGACATACCTCTGCAAACTCATTTGAAGCACGTAACTTTTCAATTTCGGTGCTTGGAAAGACTACTACACTTGGAGCGATGGAGAGCAAGAAGTCCATTACTTTCTTCATTGAATAATGGAGCGTTGATATGCTCATGTCGAATGGTTCTGCCACGCTCCGCAATGTCGTTTTATTCACGGAATACCTAATGCACAAAAATACGAAATTAAGATATAAAGCGAATCCTCCATTAGTAACATCCATTCCCCCTGAAAGACTTCACTCTTCCCCAATGAATCGAACCCACAGTTGACTCTGGGTTCATGGACAAAACCCAGAGTTGACTCTGGGTTTGATTCATCAGGGTTATACCCAAACTCCCCTATAAACCCTCCTCGTGACCGGGTGACATGAACCTCGAAACCCCTCGAAGAAAAAAAAAGAAACATCACTTCACTCCCTCCAATAATCACTCAAGAACAGAGTTCACTCATACCCCTTTCCTATGCCCAAGGCCAATAACCGCTGAAATCTCATAAAAATCTTCAGAACAGTATGAATCCAATGGAGTCTAGTATTTCCATGAAAATACCTGACAGTTCCAGTCCGTGTCGGAAAGGGTCATCCCCTTCTCCTGGAAGAAGAAAGAATTCACTGATGTCGATGATACTAATGCGTCACACACAGACATCAACTAGCAGAGGACGGTGCTCCATCAACAATATACAGACAACACGATCCTTGCTCTTTACGGTCACCGAAGCAAACGAAGACGAAGAGATGAGCCTGAATGACGTTATGGGAATCATAAGAAAGATCGAAGAGATAAACGAAAATCAAGGTCGAATAGGAGTCTCCCATAGATTACCTCTGCCATTGTTCAAATCGAGGTGAAGGGGCCTAGGAGTTGGGGAAGCATGACTCGGTCGAGATCGACAACCGAAAAAGGGAGCCGAACGTCCAGAAAATCTCGAGTTCCACCCAAGTCTCATAAATCAGTTCGTAAACAGATCGAAGAATTCAAGATCTTTGACGTCCTCGATCCTCTCAGGAGGCCGCAGGAGGCGCAAGAAAACTGGAGATCTAGGATAAGACGCAGAGCGTCGAAGGAAATGATGAGAAGTACTGCAACATCTCCTTAAACGATAAAATCGTTAGAAAAAATAAACTGGATGGAAAAC